TGGATTGGATAAGGAAAATAGCAATTTCTGTCACCTTTGTCTTATTTTTTTTTTCCACCCACAATTTGCAAAGTATTTCTTCAAGGTTCTATAACTAAAATCCTCTGATTCATTTTGCAGATGGCAAAAAACGTTTCTCAACTCTCTTAACGAAATCTATCCTCTAAAATTGTATATATTTCAAACTATTTAGTAGGAATTTTTGATGCACACTTGGAACAAAAAAGGCCCAACATAGTACTTCATTACATGCCAGACAATGCTGCATTTTTAAGTGGTGTTCGACTGAAACACAATAAGCAAGTCAATAGTACTATCTACAATCCAATCCTGTAAATGTTTGATTTTTGTACTACTGTATAAGTAAAGACTAAAGAGATACCACCTCTTTTTCCACTATTAGAAATCAAATTTCAAATCAGCATTATGTTTTAAAAAGAATGAAATGGTACCTTTGTTTCAAGTCTAGCTCACAAGGGAGATGGGTGTTTACATTATATAACAAAAATACCCAGAGAAACAGATACTTAGAACCCATGTTAATACTGGCAGAATATTATTTCTTTTTCATCCTGCCTTTATTATTTTTATAAATAGTGGTAAGTCAAGACAGAGAACATATACAATGCAACTTCTTCTTCCTATTTTCCCCATAACAATAACTCTGTGAGTGAGTTGGGTTCAGAGAGTGTGACTGGCCCGAGGTCTGCCAGTTAATTTTCAAGTGTTGGGCTGGTCTAGAACTCGCAGTCTCCCAGTTTCTTGCCTGCTGTCTTAACCACCAGACCAAACTGGCTCTCAATAATACAAGGTATAACACAAGGTAACATATTGCCCATGGATAATGTACATAAATAAGTTTAGATAATTCATCTCCAATACTGTATTTCATATGCAGAAACCATTCTGCTAAAAAAAAATACAAAGGGCTTTCTATCATCATTTATCATCTACTATTCTTCTTGGATTTTAAATTCATTTTTACTATGAAGTCATGGTCTTTTTTACAAGGCTTTGCTTTGATATATTCTAGATAATCCCTTTTCTAGACTGCAGATGTTGTTTGCATTATTTTGTTACAGACAAGATTTATTGTTTAAAATGTAATATATTATTCAAAAATACTTTTCTGGAAAAATGAATATTAATAATTTGTTTTAACTGAGCTATTATTCATGCAAAGGAATTTTTCACAGTGCTTTTTTTAATTATAGCAGAGAATGTGACATGGATTTTAGATCTCACAGTTCTCTAACTTTACAAAAATAAGTCCACCGTTTTTAGAAGTACGAGTGCTAGTCCATTTCTCAGCTCATTTATAAACACCTAGAGTCAGTTTAACTTCAATGTGCCTTTCTAAATGTATCAGATTTAAAAGGAAGTTATGCAGGTAGTTGTCTGGCTACTAAAGAAAGAAGCTTTTCAATGGGGACTCTCTGATTATGGAATCCATGCCTCGGACATGCTTGTGTTGATATTTCCATTGTGATCTTTTCCAGTCCAGCTGAAAACGTTTTATTATTCCAGGCTTTTTAGTTGGGATTTTTAAACCACATTTAGCTATTTTCAAAATACTTCCACTTCTAGTGGGTTATTTTATTGCTATTGGTCAGTCACTCTCTCACAGCCCAAGCTGAACCAGGGGTTGCTGTGGGGAAAATACGAGGCCAGAGCATGATGTCTACTGACTTAGGTTGTACAAAATAAATGGTGGGACCTAAAGCTAATAATAAAGACACTCTATAGCTGTTTTAACCTGATTTAACCTCTTTTTCTGTGCATTGAGCTGGGATGGTAAATGAGGCCACTCTGAGATGTGTACACTTGTTTTTTACTGCAAGCCTCTATTATGTGTTAATTATGCATTATGTTTTTAGTTTTGTTAGATTATTTTTATTAGATTGTTTTGTTTTTTTATTCTTTCAACATTTTTTGTCTTTTGACACCACACAACATCACAGATTGTGAGAGGGTGGCTTTGTAAATCTTTTAAATAAATGCTAGTCTAACATTTTAATGCATTTATGAATTTTAGCTTTTTAACTTTATTTTCACCATACAAAGTATCACACTGTGAAGTGATATATAAATATAACATATAATGAGTTAGGAGATGTATTTCAACAGAGCCATCTGTACCTGTTGTCCTTAACACAGAGTCCAAGCCATGACACATTAATCAACAATTTGGTCTTGCGTGACCAGATAGGAAGGAAAGAAGAGGCTGAAGATTTTTTTCTTTAAAAAAGGAGGAACACGAAAGTAAAGTCTATTCAAGTTTCATGATAGTAAAACATGAGACCTAATGGATAATCACAACCTCTTCAGAAAATGTTGGCCCTTGAATACGTGCTAAATAATCAATTGTGGAATTCACTTTTGCTTTTTTTAAAGAAAAGTATTTACAAAGGAATATCAATGTAATGCTGTTATAGAGTAATAAGAATGAGAAGCAAGTGGATGACATAAACCCAAATCATAAAAAGAAATGAAAGATGACAATAAGAGAAACAATGGGCCAAAAGAAGTTGTAAGGTCCAAATAAAAACATAAACATTCCTGGAAGTTTTGGGGTTTTCCAATAGTTAAATCAAGCAAGATGTAAACATTTTGAAAACTTTAGATTCAGTATCATATTTATCTGATGATAGTGAAGAAAATTGATGTTGATTGATAAAATGGAAATAGGTTTAAAATCATTTAGTGTATTTGGCATCTTTATCTCTCACATAATTAGACTATTAATGAAGTTGGCAACTAAAATATTTAGCTAAATTAGCTCCTTATTACTTTCTGCCTGAACCAACATTGTTTAATTAATATTCATATTATATTTATGTATTAGCATATAAACACAATGTTCTTTAACATTCTCTAAAGTAGGTAGAAAAAAAGAACTGTACATTTATTAGATACTCTAACCCCATAGCCCAGCATCAATACTTATCTATGCAATGCAAAAAAAAACCCAACCCTAAGTGCAAAATGATTGTGTAATTTGGCAAACTACGTACTAGGAATTATTAATATAAAGTAAAAATTCATATCAAACTATCAATTCTGATTAAAAAACAATTGCTGATTGCAATTGTTTTTATATTTGCAGAAACTTGAATCTAAAGTTCACAGATCAAACTACAAACCAAATATGCAGAAAGTTATGAATCTGAAGTCAGTCAATTGAAATTAAATGAAAAAAATTCAATTTACTAGTAAAGTATATAATAGCTAGATTATTGAAAGAGTTTAGTTTCAAAGCAACCTTTGATACAATCTATTTCCAGGTGAATCATCTAAAAGAAGAACAGGGAATTTATGTATAGCAACATTAGTGGATTTTTTTTTTAAAAAAAATGATTTTTGTTTGATGTGCATCCCAAATGACTGCATCTATTCATTCTGCTTTCCCATTCTGGGTCCTTGCAAAGATGTTTATTCTCTTCTCTCACACTTTGTTACCATGGTTCATTATATTGAGGGATAAACTGGCTGAAGATGAAATATTGATGAACATGAGTGCTGCAATAAAATTTATTTATTTATTTGAATTTATGAGCTGCCCAACTCCAATTTGTTTCTTTCTTTTAAAAGACAACAAGAGAACAATTAAGGATAGAATAAATAAAGCTTTAAAAAAAACTTCAAATATGAATTGTTGCCTTAGAGATGATGCCAGAAAATTGGGAGAAGATTGGGGAAAACCAAACATTTAGAAAAAATAATTTGCAAAAAAAAAAAAAAAAATAGAAGCAGCTATTATGTTCCAATGTACACTTTTGGCAAGAGTTGATTTGTTATAAGGTTCCCAGACACAAAATAGATGCTGTGTTCACTAAGCACGAAGCTCTCCAAGACGCAGGGAGCTTAGAGGCTCTTGGCTTTTCTCAAGTCTCATTAGGTCTGCATATTAATGACCTGCAGCAATATAAAGCAGTCCTTGAATGGAATCCCAGGCTCCCCCTCCCCCCAGGTGCCTAAACTTCTCATAGCCAAAGGAACAGCATAGAACTTTTTTTTAAAGGCTGGAATTCCCTCCTCCCCCATCCACACAAGTGTCAATGTTTCTATGTTTCTGGGCAGTTGGTGGTTTGCTCAGTCCAGTGCCTTAGAAGATGTTTTAGGGAAGCGACAGACAGAAAGAAAGGGAGGGAGGGAGGGAGGGAGGGAATAAACACACATCAACCTGGAAGGCATTTTTGTAGCAGCAACTCTCTGGAGTTTTTACCAAACTAGAAAAGGCAGAGATTTATTACTACTAAGCCTAGATTCCAGGAACTTGGTTGATTACAATCTAGTGACAAGTGCCTCTAACACCTGCTAAACTGCAGGGATGCTGTGCAATGAAGCATATGCTGAAAGTCAGCATTCCTCCTAAGTATACAGATGCAAAGTGAGAATACTGTCAGATTTACCAAGGGAATGAGAGTCACATTCTCTTCAAAGCGAACATTACAATATTACTACTTGAAAAAGACCACATTTCCAAGAATTTTCCAGTTTCCAACTGAAGATAAATGACTGCTCTCCATGATTGATATATATTACAGTCTACTCTGTCACACACTTGCAATTCTCCCTTGTTCAAGTCCCTGTGGATCCATCACTTGGGCATAGTTCTGAATACTCTCAGTTCTGAACTGATCTGAGAATTGCTATTGAAAACCAGTTTGAAAATATCCCATTAGCTTTTCAGGATTTAAGAATCCCACCAAAATATATCAGCATTTTTGTATCTTAACATACAAAGCACGATTAATGTTTCAAAACCATGTACCTTGCAAAAATCAGCCAGCATTAAAAAAAAAAAAAAATTTCCTGTAAGTGTATTACAACTGAAAAATCTATTTGTTACATCCAGTCAGATGTACATTAGCACAAAATTATAAACACTCTGCATCAAAATACTTATGGCCCATTATTAATTTACCTATCTATAATTGCTCCTGATGGTCCTATTAAAAGATCAAATATTTAGAGTCCTATCCCCCTATCAAACTTACCAGTGGATTGACCTCGATTAGTGGCGTCATGATCGCTGTCTCCTTGTTCACTGTCTCCATGACCACTGTCCTTAGAACTTACTATGTCTGCTTCCTGGAATGCAGAACTAGAAATATAAAAAGGGGGGAACTTAATGTTTGAATAACCAAGAAAAGAAAAATTCATAAAACATTCTTCTGCCATCATATGGCGATAGGTGGTGCTGCACTCAGCTACATGGTTTTTGCTACATTGTTCCAACTAAACAGCACTCTCCATCAAAAGCAAAACTTATATTTTCAGGGACAGTAACCAAATGTTTAGAGTGCTTGTTATTACACCATGTGTATTTGGTGTTATTATGATAAACAATTTTGTTAAATAGTGGAGGACCAATATTTGGCAGATAGTGTCCTACATTATTATCTGTTGAGTTTTTGAATTGTAATTCAAATCAGCATAACATTTCTCTCTTTTCCCCCCAAGAAATTTCAGTGTGATTCACCAAATGTCATAATTCAGAGATGTTCATTCGTTGTACATATATGGTGCCACCTGGATACATTTTTATATTGCTCAGCTACTATTTAATACCTTTTGTAAATGCATATCTGTATGTTCCTTCACTTTAAGTTGTGCATAATTCTAACTCTAATTTAGGAAATCAGAAATGCAGAGCTCCTACCTGTTTACACGCCGAGGTCTGTCAACTAGATAACTGAGCTCTGTACGTTGATGTTTTGTCTAAAAAATAATTAGAAAATAAACAAACAAATAAATAATGATTTTTTTAGAGAACCTGTGCATTTTAGTCATAATAGCGTGCATGCACACACACACACAGACATATATATATATGTATGTATGTATGTATGTATGTGTGTGTGTGTGTGTGTGTGTGTGTGTGTGTGTGTGTGTGTG